TTTCTTATATTTTTTCTTCTACCCTGAAGATGGAGGCGATACGTTCCTCCGAAACGTCGGTTAACACGACATATACACGGTGCCAAATCCAAGAAGACTGCTTTCTTCATAGTCACCGCTGTGAAAGCCTCAAATCTTACATTTCTGTTGTGGTTGTCTGTCCTCGTGTTGCAGGGAAGTGGACATCTGGGCAGTGGGCTGTTTGTTTGCCGAGATGATGAGTGGAGATCCCTTGTTCCCTGGTGACTCAGACATAGACCAATTGTATCAGATTACCAAACTGCTGGGTAAACATTGTCATTCCACATCTTTCCGTTAGTTCCAAGAACCTAGAAGCACAGCCCTGCTTTGTGTACTATGCTGCGAGATTCAGCACAGTGAATAGTTAGCATAAAGGCTACATGACACCATGGGCTTTGGTAGATAGATATTAACATTTCAGAGTACCCTGCTGTTCCATCTTCATGGCTGAAAATTGAGGCAACATATTCCTCTGAAATTCTGGTACCTATTTACCAAATAACATGGCATCACATCCCAAAGGCAGTAATTTTAGTAATGAGATAATTTTTGTTAACTTTGCTATGAACAAGAAGTTACACTTGTTTAAAATATTTTTTAGGCTATCTCATATCTCAATCAGGCAATCTTACGGGTTGTGTTGAGTGGAAGCTCCAGTATTGTTATTTTGGTTCCCATTGGGTGTTCAAAATAGGATCTGATGGCTTTATAATAATGACATAATGATATGCATTACTATCCAGTGGTCATTCATTCATTCATCAGTAATCTGTCAGACGACAGGTCCACAGTCTCTTCCAAAACAGTTCCTCCACTTAATGCGATCTTCTGTTTCTGGAAAGAGACTATCCAGGAAAAGTGATAATGTGGTNAATAGGATCTGATGGCTTTATAATAATGACATAATGATATGCATTACTATCCAGTGGTCATGCATCCTCAAAAATATTTTAAACATGCAGTATTAAAGATCTTAGGTCGTTTATCCAAGTCCGAGGCCCTTTGTGACATTTCATAACAAGTTTATTCTTATGGTGTGGAGTTATTAACCACACGCCCAACCCCAAAGCTAGAGGACCACCCCTTGTCAGCTGTCCGAGACTATTTCTTCAATATATTCGCAGCTACCCTCCATATCTGGAGGCCATATCCTCCATCTACAACCTGAGGAGGCCCCATTCCATGTGGTATGGAATGGATTGATCTGGCTCAGGTTATGGACCAGTGGAGAGGGCTCTTGTGAATACAATAATGAACCTTCAGGTTCCATAAAATGTTGGGGAAGTTTTTGAGTAACTGCATACCTGGCAGCTCCTCAAGAAGGGCTCAGCTCTGTGAAGTTAGCTAGCTAATCAATATCTCACCTTCTTGATAAACTTTAACTTAAATAAAATATGGCTAGTGGGACTTTAACCTTGTTGGAAATGAGCTACAGACTCGTAGTTGCAAGACCTTGACATACGGTATATGTCCTGATATTAAAGCTAGGTCTCGGAGAAACATACGAGTATGTAGCTGAAATGACTTGGAACAGAATCCAACAATATTCCTTTGTATTAGCAGCGATGAACTGGTGATGTTAGTGTTTCTGCCATCAGCACATCAGTATGAGGACTGGTCTAACTGACGAGTCTTTGTGCTTGAGCTCATTAAACACATATGCAGCATGTTACATGCATATTTATGGGCAGTAGGAGACGCATTGGAATGTAGTTTCAAATTTCAAATATGCCATGCTGACCATGAGCCTGTATGCATGTCACAGGGAAGCTGTCTTCAAGGCACCAGCAGCTGGTGTCCCGCAACGCCATGTTCAAAGGGCTTAAGAGGAGTACTGAGGACAGGGCACGGTCCCTATACAAGCTGTTCCCTGCCTGGCCTCCCTTGGCACTAGACTTCGTGTCACAATGCCTGAGGCTGGACCCATCCCATCGGTCCACTAGTACGGAACTGATTCAGCACCTGTACTTCACAGACGACCACTTCTCTGAGCATTTCCTTCCCCTCTTGAGAGAAAAGATACAGCAAGAGTTTCAAGGCAACCCCCTGCTTCAGAAGTATGAGGCTGCCTTCTTGGTTGACTCTTCAGCTCGAAAAGCTCGAGGATTTGCGAACAGTAATATGATTGACTCTAAAGGTAACAGTTTTTCTTTCCAAATCTAATCTTAATTTTTAACAGTACAAACCCCTATACTGAAACATTTGTACAGCATACATGTAAAGTATTTCCCTGTGATCTTGGAAAACCTTCTGTTGGTGGCCAGTGCTAGCCGAAACATGTAAAGTTGTATTTATATGGTTTTATATTAAACTGGTTAAACTTGATGGAATTACTATTTGCTTAAGTAACTGGTTTGTACTGGTCATAGCTTTAACTTCACTATGGCATGCTGTAGGTTGTTTTCAGGCACCAAAATAAATTACAAAACCAGAAGGCAACGTAATTCTTTGCTTATTTATTAAAGATTGTGCCCATTGGCAGGCACTGGTATTAACAGTGCTGAAATTTTGAGTACTGCTGCTAGCGAGTTAGTTAGCTTGTAAGGTGGATCTTACAGAAACATAATGATAAATCTTTATAGATTGCATAGTAACAGGAAATTAGGCCGCACCATAGCTCAAGCGGTTAGTTGCTGGCTTCCCACCGCGGTGGCCCAGGTTTGGTCAAGTGGGATTTGTGGTGGACAAAGTGGCGCTGGGGCAGGTTTTCTCTGAGTACTTTGGTTTCCCCTGCCAATCTTTGTTCCACCAATTGCTCCACAATCACCCTCATCTATCATCTGGGGCTGGTACAAGAGACACAAGTGGCCGCAATACAAGGGACTTAGTCTCACCCCACTAGCAATAAAAAAATAGTCCCACCCCACTAGTGATAAAAAAAACAACAGGAAATTAGTTGAATAGCCAAATCACTGTCAGCTGGTCAAGTTAGACCTTGCACTGTTGAGTTCAGTGACCATTCTGCATGTGTGCCTGCCACAGGTACTGGTCATCATCAAAGGAGGAGTCTGATTGAACCTCGGTGGAAGATCATCGTCCCGAGCGAGAACAGCAGCAGCCGGCGGATCATTGTGGACAGCAGTAAACCAGTTTCCAATCGCAGAAAACTGAGTGACAATAACAGTGTTAGCAGCAACATGATGGAAGTGAGTGATGAAGCCAGTGACAGTAGGATTGGTGGTCTCAAAATGGCCACGCAATCCAAGCTGATAGTTCCTTCCAAACTACACATGCCAGTGCAAGACATTCAGCATAGTGGAATGGACGTTCAGCCTCCATCAGGCTCTCCAACACCATTCCAGTCACTTGAGGCAGTAGGAAGTCAGGTGTCTAGCTTGTCACATGTACATCAGAGCACAGGGGACCATTTCTTGCACATCAACATGCAGGTTCTGCACCCATCCATCAACAACCTGAGCTTCAGTGGAATGGGTGTTGAGAACAAGAGCGGCTTCTCTGGGAAGTAAGTATACACAATCTTTTTGAGGTCTAACATGAATTAATTATTGGTATTTTCATCACACTTGTTATAATTCAGTCTCTGAAACCACATGAAGGTGTTTGATACAGCACCTGTCCTCTGTCAGCAGACTTCAGGATGTCTAGCTACTAGCAACAGCTGAAGGCTTGACATGGAATTTAACAAAATGTTAATTTTGGTTGGGCCATCTTATGGTCAGGTTGCAATATGAATAATTATAGTACTGTCACGTGTATGGAGTGACTATTGACAGTGTTTGGATTGGTAACTGGATTTAATGTATACTTACAGACCGTAACTACAACTAACTATTGTGCTATTGCTAATTCACACTCTACAATTCACTACAACCCACACTTAAGTCTTCTCAGCCTGCTGTGTCTTCACCAGTCTTCTGGTTGTAGCTTCCAAATGCAAACTCTGGGTTCCCAAACTGTTCCCATGCCTCAGCTACCAGCTCCAACAGCAACAGCTCACATGACTGAGCCACAACAGTCCTCCAACTCATTCACCCACCAACCAACTCACTCCACTACACTAGCTCCATCAGAGTCAGAGTTTCTTTACGACTGGCTATTTACCACCAATCAGGTCATCTTGGCATCAAGCCTTTCGAGGCTCACCACTAACTCATTCTGCTTATAACATCCCACCATGGACGGCACAGAAAACACCATTCCTTTGTTGTTGTTTGGGCTGCTGCCTAGCAATGGGTCTATATACCACACTGCTCCTTCCTTAGGGCAGTTTGTCCTGAATAACCTACAGGTGTAATGCTGTTTCATCTTTTCCAAGGGNCTGTTGTTTGGGCTGCTGCCTAGCAACGGTTGCTGTACAGTCACCTATCTCGCGGTTGCTGTCTAGCAATGGGTCTACATACCACACTGCTCCTTCCTTAGGGCAGTTTCTCCTGAATAACCTACAGGTGTAATGCTGTTTCATCTTTTCCAAGGGCTGTGCTTGTGATGTCTGTGATCAGCCTTGCATTCCTTCCTTGTGGCAAGGTTCTCACCTTGACGACTCTCCAACTGCTCCTGCTGCTCCTTCCTTAAGGCTGCTTGTCTTGAGCAGTTCACTGATAAGTTCTGAGCCTCTCCAGGTGTACCACCATCATTTTTATTCCTTTCCGAGGGCCATGGGCAAAAATTCCATCTATGGCCCTTAAGCTCCTAGTAGCCTCTTCTTTCATTTGGGCGGTGGTCAGCTCCTCCACAATTGCTAAACACTCCTTTTCTGCAGCCTGCTTGAAGATTTGACTGTTTGATCCATGATCTCCAGTCCGATGATTTGTCTGAGGGCCCCATTAACGTCTCTCTGATCCTCAGATGCGGCTCCTGTCACAGGCCTTGGTCCCTTATGCCATTGCTGTGTGTACGTCATGCCTGATGTCTCTTCTGGAATGTCCTCCCTTTGGGGGTTCTGCATATAACATCATCCTTACCTGGTCTGACGACCGTGTCCCTTGCATGGTGCGGGAAGTACTACTTCTTGATATGAAGTTTAATGATGTAAAAAGTCAAAGTAGAGGCCGAGGGAGTGACAGAATGTAATGATCATATAATTTATGGCAAGTTACTGTAATCAAGATGTCTTGGATGGATACTGTCCCTACAAACAAATAATTCTTCATATTAGGAGTTGCATCATCAGGAGACTGTCAGGAAAGTGGGAGAGGCTCAAAGGGATCATCCTATCCTGTGCACCCCACTACTGATATTAAGTGTCACTTCAAGTCATTCTCTTCCATAATGGATTTAGCAGTTTGTGTCATATGGTACCTGAGATGCATATTTAATGAACAGGTTTCCATGGCTTTGCAGAATGCCAGAACCTCTGAAACGATCGCCCCTGGCACAAGGTGGAAGGGTGAGGGAATCACACAGCAGGGTAACCCCCGTGCGGTTGCCCCCACGTACACAGTTCCTGCGACGCTTGGACCATGGCTTGCTTCTAGATGTTGGTCAGTTGGATAAGACTGGTACAAACTCCTCGCTGCTGAGCAGCGAGTCCCCAACAAATGAAAAGTGGCTAGGAGCAAAGAAGATGGGCACCACTAGGACGTATGACACCTGGAAGACTCCAAAAACGATTGGCGATGACTTCTCTTTGCCAAATGTTCCTGGAGGTAATATCAGGTTCCGTGTTGTCATGTGTTCACTGTGTAGAACAAAAGCATAAAGGAGAGGTCATGGAGGTGGAGTAGATCACTCGGTATAGTGTCCAGGCTGTGGGCTGGACAACCACGGAGCCCGGATTTGGTTCCAGTAGGGGCAGGAGGCTTTCTCTTTTCCATAACATCCAGAGCAGCTGTGGGCTGTTTCCCTGGGGGGTAAAGTAGGAGGGTCATGAAGCTGACCACTCATCTCAGTCTAGTGAAAGGTTAAGAATGGTGCAACTATGTATATCTCCACTTCCCCATACACCTTTATAATGTTTCACCTAACTAATTGTGTCCAGGGATAACTTCACCTTTCACCTTTTTTAAAAGAGAGGTCATGTCAATACTTTCATGCATGAATGTCCACATGTAACACTTTTGTACAAAGAACTGCTATATGGTCGAGAATATACTGTCAGTCAGGCCAACAGATTTTATCTGAAATGTTTTTAGCGACATGTATATTGAATGAAATGCATGAAATAATGTATGCTACTTCCATTTAATTTCCAATAAAAGAGCTGTATCAGCACAATTTAATTTAAAGACAAATGAGTGCCATTTGAGAGATAAAAGAAATGCTTAAAAAGTTTTGGTCAGAAACCCTGAAGGGAAGAGACCACTTGGAAGATCTAGGAGTAGATGGGAGGATAACATTAAACTAGATGTTAAAAGAGACAGGTTGGATTGGATTAATTTGGCTCACAACAGAGACCATTGGTGAGTGCTTGTAATCATGGTAATGAACCTTTCAGCTCTGTGAAAGATGATTAATAATTTGCTGATTAGCTCAGTAGTACTGGTTGCTTCAGAAGGATTCCATGAAGTTAGTTAAACAAACAGAGGATGTAAATTGCATTTGGAAAATACGATGTACTGACAATTGGATTAAAGCTGTCAGCTGTCCTTGTTTGTGTTTGCGTTCTCCAGAACCCTTTGTGTTCTGTTCTAGCATCTGGAAGTCCCAGTAAGGGACTGAAGAAGCAGCTAAACCCTGTTACACCTCATGCAGACCCAGCATCAGACCTGCGTATCTCACCCGTGAGTACTCATACCACTGAGAATGCTGCTACTATAACTTCGTTCTTTGCTGTAATGAAGCCAACAGTATATTATGCTTAGGTGTGTTTAACCTAAAAGAAATGATGCAGTATGTTCAGTAAATTGTCACCCAAGTACTGTCTCCACTTTTGGTCAAAAACGAGACAATTCACATCTGTGGTTCTCTGTATTGTGCTGCACATCTTCACATACTTACATAGGTTTCCCTTACTCATACAAGTGTGAGATTTCAGAATGTGTTTCTTGTAAGTCACATTTAAACTGCAGCTGATACCCTAACATCAAACCAAGTTACCCAAAAACTGGTGCTGATGAACACAGGACATTCATGTAATCTAGTGGTGATTTGTGGCACTTCGATGTCCATCATATTCAGCATACCAGCTTGTACAGTTCTGTTCTTGTGCTTTTCAGAGAGGAAACCCATCTCACTCATCACCCCAGAGCCCAAGGTCCAGGTTCAGTTCTAATCTGCCACATGTATGACATCTCAATGAGATAATATTATGTACTGTTTTCTGATACTGAAGAGGACCAATCTACCAGCTGTAAGGCTTACACTGTGGAGCTGAGACTCAACACTTGGATGTGGTACAAGCATAAGTGTATCTACTTTCTGAGAGACACCACAATGCATTCACATCCCATTGCTATGGTTGTCAGTCATTATTCACACGGAAATTGAATGTTTGTGTGGGCCTTGAAAACACAGATATTTTTATTAAATTTATATCTCAGGTATTGGTTTCTTCCTTCTGTTCTCTTCATTATGCAGTTTGCTGTATGATACACATATATGCAAGCTGGAAGTTCGCGGGTTCAAATCCCGATGAGGTCATTGGATTCTTTTCAACTGACCTAATCCTTCCAGCCACACTATGTCCCTGGGGCCAACTCAGCCTCTAACAGAAATGAGTACCGCAATTAATTAAATAATTTTCTTGTGGAGTAAAGCACGGCCAGCGTGAAAGGCTGACAACCATACCGCCATCTTTGAGCCGATTGTCTAGATGATGTAGAACTCTCAACGTCTCACAACCTTATGGGCCTTCACGGCCTGTTACAGGGATAGCTTTACTTACTTACTTCACCATCTTGTTACGGACAGATGCACGAGTATTTTTTCTTTACAGAAAATTGGACTTACATAATTCTTCACTGACCCTTTTATGTTCCTGAATATTATTTTTGCAGTGCAAGAAGGAAATTGTGTAGGATGCATTTCATCCCTTGTCACAGTTACAATGCTGTCACACTTATACATTATGATTACATTTTGGAAAGTACAGTGTCTGCTTTCGCCCAAATGCTTCAGTCTACATTTCAACCCTACCAAATATTTTTAAGTAATTAAAAAAATGTAAAATTAAAACTATCCCTGTAACGGGCCGTGGAGGCCCATAGGATTGTGAGACGTCAAAGCTCTCACATTTTCTAGACAATTAGCTCACAGATGGTGGTGAGGTTCTGAGCCTTATGTGGCAGCCATGCTTTACTCCCAGAAGATATCTGGTACTCATTTCTGTTAGAGGCTGAGTCAACCTCTGGGCCATAGTGCAGATGGAAGGATTAAATCAACTGAAAAATCCAATGAACTCATCAGGAATCAAACTCGCATCCTTCCAGTTGTAGCACAGTGCCTGAACCAACTATGCTACCACATGCCCTATTAAATAATAATACATTTCTGTGCATAATTGTCCCTGGTATGGATACAGGCTGCATTACATTTGTATTCTGACATTCTCATGGCAGAGAAAACAGAGTCCTCTGGGCTGTGATGTGATGCAATTTGGTATATAGGTACCAACATTTGGGACAAACTTGCTGCCTGCAACTTCAGGCAGGGCTACCTTGTAGATGAAGACAGTAGATATCTACCAAACTACATGCTGTCATGACCCAAAGCACTTAAATCTTTACATTAAATTAGGATTAGAACAGATCCAGTTTCTGAAATGTTTTTGGAATACTAGACAGTTGATGACATTCAGAAATTTAATAATCTTTAAGTATAAAGCCTCTAGTATCATGGTGGTCATATTAAGTTTAATTAATATCCACTATTTGCTTCAAAAGATATTTTATTTATTTAACAATACTATCAGTAGCTCAGGCAGTACACTGTTGAATGATATGATGATTAAATGAATAATGAGATACAAAAGATTTGGAAGGAAATAAGTCATGGTCTAATTTGGGGCAGTGTCCCAATATTTTACATGAAGCAAACACCACATAATCTCTTTCCTGGGATTTGAACCTTCAAATGTGGAGTACTGCTCACTGCACTGAAACATTCAGTTCAAGAAGGTATCACTGAGGGGCTGAGACACAAACATAATCTTTCATTGCATGTAAATGAAAATAGGTCAAAATACAGTATGCATCAAAAATTGCAGTACTGAAACTTATGCATCTCAAATGTGCATGTGTGTTTGTTGATGGGGCATAGCTCCAGCCACACATGTTCCCACTAGTGAAAAGGAAGTTGTGTTGTGCAGCTGTTGTGGGAAATGGGTCTCTTTGACGCAGGAAAAAGTATTCATAGTTGAGTATTATTTCTGCTGTCTGGTCAAGTGGGATTTGTGGTGGACAAAGTTGCGCCGGGGTGGGTTTTCTCCAAGTACTTCGGTTTCCCCTGCCGATCTTCATTCCACCAAATTCTCCATCATCATAATCACCCAGGGCAGGCTACAATAGGCCAATCAGTGGCTGCTGTGCCGAGTGGACCCATATGGACTCCACCCCCACTAAGCGAATTATTTCTGCTCATATGGAAGTGGTGGCCAGACAACTTGCTTCCTTGGTTTTGAGCAGCCAGATGTTATTGTCCTGAAACCGCTACACAGTACACGTGTGACGTTATGGTGTGCTGTCTCAGCACACGGTATATTAGGCCCCTATTTCTTTGAGGATGAGGAACGCAATGCTCTTACCATCACCCAAGAACGCTACAGGGACATGGTGATCGGACCATTTCTTCAGGATTTGAGAAGGTTCTGTCGTGCAAGGGGCCTTCACATGAATAGATGGTGGTATCAACAGGATGTCTTTTCATTTCAGTACTGTATATTTTGGTGCATACTTTATAAAGAAGAGATGATTGTGGTCCTGAAGTTTTGAAGTGATGTATGGATAACATAAAAATTAGCATATTTTTCCACTGAAAAGTAATTATACTACAAATATTTTGAGACAGAATTAAGAAAAATAGACTTAATTTGAATTCAACGTGTTGAAACAAAGGAAACTGAATGCATTCCAAAACAGTTAATTGGCTGTACACCTAAGATAATCAAGATCCATTGGCTGCCCAAAGTTATGCTGAAAGGATCAACATATCTTGTAGAGGAATGAATGGAGTGAAAGGTCCAAACCACACCTTGATCTTGATGACGATGACAATGCTACTGTGATGCAGAAACCTGCATTTACATCAGCAGTATGACTGGCTTGTGAACAAATGTAAGAAAATTTAGTTTTGTCAATTGAAATTTCAAACATGGCTCAGATTACAGAAGCTTCACTTTTAGAGTGAATCATTCAAACATGCCTTGCAATATGGAAACTTGATGCAAATGTTTTATTTATGACTCTGCATAACCAGCGTTTTCATTTGTTACAGTTCTTTAATTTCTGTTGCCAACATAACACTGTCTTTGTATGGGCGCCAATATCTGATGTTCTGAAGTAGGTGGATGTGTCTCATCTGAAAAAGTATAAGCTACTTTGTTACCTTGATATCGAACTTCAAGCAGCTCATCTTCCTAAGCGATCCCTTTTATTTCTTGATTGTATAATGTTAGTTAATTTCTGGGTTCATGAATATTTTACTTTTTTAGGTATGCGGTGCCACATTTTGAAATTAAATTGATTTGTGCATTCATTTAAAAGTGTCTAGTTGTGAAAACTAAAGTGTGATTGACTTAATATTACTTTGATTTTTGTTACTTTGTGTTTGTCATTTGCATGTGTGGAGTTTAAACTTTTTCCATTTCTCCCCCAAATTTCCTCACCTGCTAAATATTTATTACAATAATCTGACTGAACAGCTTGTGAAATAAATAAAAAAGTTATGAGTATGACTGTGTTATATAACAGATGAACTGTAGTTATTAAAGTATATATTTTAGTCTAGATGATTATTTTCATAAAAAAAAAGAACAAAACGAGGGAGATGTTGCAAATTACAAAAATACCTTGCATTACAATAGAAGCACTAGTTAATTTGCATATTTGGAATATTTTATATTGCTATGAAAATAAGAAAGTGCTGTCAACATTTGTGAGAAAATTTTCCGAAGTTTGTATGGTTGAGCAGTGTGGAATATTGTTGAGATGTTTGACAGAGTTCTTGAGGTCGATATGCCGCATCAACTAACTGGTATAAATTATATGTTGTTATGTTCATCTAAAAATGATCTATTATAAAGTTTGTTCATGCTTCTGTCATATACGAATTCCAAGTGATATATGAGAAAATAAAAATACAACATGCATCCATAATAAGCTGAATGACATCTCTGGCAAATGTACTGTGATCTTATTGCTTTCAATTTGTACAGCAACATCCTGATTCACTGTGACACAACAAGGATTAAAAAAAAATCATTAATGCCCGCTAAACGACTAATACATATGATTTGAGGCTCTCAGAGTGGTGGCTATTAAGATTATGATAATCTGGGACCTCATGTAGGAGATAGGTACCAATGGTTTGAAGAAGCCTGCTGCAAACACATTGGTACCGTCCATCAGCATGCTTTAGGATCCTTTAAATTACCTGTTCTGGCTTCAAGGTTTAAAAATTATAACTACCAGATTCAAAACTGTCATCACCTTCATTTACATGAATATCCTCCGTCGCTTCCACCTCTGTGTTTCTAGTCTCAAAGTAATTTAGGACTGTCTTTTGCTTCACTGTTTCTAGGTGCTGTACCCATTTAATGTAAGTATGTGCATGAAGATTACAGTCTCCTATCTCTGCTACCCTCAAGAAGGAGGCATCAGGTTTCCCCAAAACGCAGGTAGTGATCTACTCCACTACATGGTGTCACCTTCAGTCGCTGCTATAAGCAACCTTGGATCTCACATAAATATGTACTTGTTTTCTGAATCCAGCAAATCTAAGTGTTGGACTAAATAACTATCTTTATGTCTGTCGCCTGACCTGTACAGTCTCAGTAGACATAATTAATTTGATCCACAGCACAAGGCGCAACCAACACACATACATATACTCGTATATCAAAATTTCATAAACTTCTCAAACAACAAGATTTCTGCATTTCGTTTGCGTGCCATCTTTATAACAAGTACTCATAACCCACTTCATTATTGGAAAATCAATAGAATCTGGTTTCTCTGAGTAACTGAAGATATCAGCATGAAGGGTGTCTTCATGCACAAGTGCCTCTTAGCAAAAAAGAACTATCAAATATGAATGTACATGCACTTTCACTTACACACTTCTGTCAAATGGCTGAATCTATTGTATAAGCATCCTGCAGTTGTGGAACAATCCATCAATTCCTGTAAGAAGGTTTAACTCTATTCCTTGTGGCCCATGTTCCCCCCTCCCCCATAAGCATTTGTGACACATTAGTGACCGTGATGGTACTACAGTCACCACTGGTTCTCAAGCAACCCCTGGAAAATGGCTGGAATGCTGAGGCGTGGGCAAGCCTGCTGCAGGCACTCACCTCCAAGCATGGTGATAGGATTCTGGCTGTGGTAAGTCACCATATCACCTGAAACAGGAACAAGTTCAGTCATTACAGGTATGCAAGTGAGGTTCACCTTAAGGGTGGTATAATTACATTAATTGTTACATTTACTGATACACTGACTTACGACCAACCCAAAAGATTCCCTGTTGCAAGGGCTGCCCTGTACAGTCAACAGATACTGAGCTGTTCAGGAATTTCCTGAGGCATGAGGGATCATTGCTGTCACTAGAAGAGTCGACCATACACTGCACTGAGCCAGTTCAATCCAGTCTTTGTTAAACTTACTGCTGATGAAGAATTCTATCTTATGGGATATAACACCATGTAGTCTGTTGAAAGTGAACCTATGTTTCGGAGGAACATGTCACCTCTATTTTCAGGGTCAAAGAATAAGCCAAGCAAGGAAAGAGAGTGTGATGCATGTGGCAAGGTGTGCTTCATGCTGGTTTCCTGCTTGGCCTAATTCTTCAGTCCTGATAATGAAGGCAACATGTTACTCCAAAACATGGGATGGCTGAATGGGATACTTGACGTTATATCGCAGAAGATAGAATTCTTCCTAGCCACTGCCATGAGAACCTCAAATCCTGCTCATTGCCGATGCATTTCATTTCATATAAAGATATCAAACTAATGAGAATAAAAATACTGTTAAGCTCTCTTGTGTTTACAAAACACAAAATACAAAATTATAAGAGAGATCTCGTCAGTATGCTTGTCTTAAATTAGCTGCACTTAATGGCACTAATCTTATTTGTATGATAGTTCAATTCTGTTCACATAATTGAAATGCAATTCTATTTGATCCAACTGAAATACAATTTCTGATGATCCATTTCAACCCCCAAAGTATTTTTTAATTGCCATCCTGCCTACTCTTGCAGCTACATTTAGATGAAAGCAAATCCCTGCCACTGAAATTTTATCTCTATGTTCTTTGGCATACATTGATAAATAAAGTGCATTGTTTGGTCAACAAACGGTACCAGCAAAGCATAAGCTACCATGAAATACTAGCAGAATCTAAGTGAGAACTTCAGAAACATCCCAGAAGCACAAAATTGTTGGGACAGTACCTGAATTAGGCAATGACCACTACCTCAGAAATCCTTTCCAGTTCATCAGCCACCCCATCATCTGATGCTACATAGTCTAGCTAATGACAGCATTGCACCCCCCTCCCCCAAAAGTAATATAAGCTGGGTCAGGGTCTTTCAGTTTTCCTCAGCCCTTACAGACTAACACCAGGATACAGCTCTGAAACAGACCCCAAGCACGCACCATTCTTCCTTTCCTTTGAACAACTTACAATGTAGGACATTACACAAAAACCACAAATGCAATAAAGCTGGTGTTTCTACTCACCCAGTGTGTTATGTGTTATCTGGTTGGCTCCCAGGAACTGGTAATGACCATTGGATGCGTCCACTAAGTAATGTTTGCATCTGTCAGCATCCCTGTAACTGATGGCATAACCCCAAATTCGCTCTGAGATTCTCACCAAGAAACTGCCCATTGGCTTGTCATGCAGTAGCGACTCTGCCTCTTGGCGGGTTATCAGTCCTGAAGACATACAGTTGACCCTGAAGATTATTAACTGTACAGGAAATTATTTAATGATATACTCTTCATCCATTATCACCTTATACACCCCTGATGTGCACAAGTTTTTTTCCTCCAGTCACTTCATCTTCATAAGAGCCAAATATTCTCCTCAGCACCCTGTTCTCAAACACCATCTCTATGTTCTTCCTTCATAGCAAGGGATAAAGTTTCATACCCATTAAAAATTCAACCAGAAAATTTGAAAATTCCCATCTCTATCTAAGGTTTATACATATAACCCTTCCATTCATCCCTTCTTACAGATCAGAGCCCTTGAGGGACACTCTGGCATGATGTCACTGAATATACATATTATGAAGGTGTAAAGTCCTGGAAAGAAAATCTTGATAAAATAAATGTAATAATAATAATAATTATAGGTTTAAGATTACCCATCACATGAACTTATGTTAAAACTATCTCATTTTTATTCCTACTTCCATACCACATGTTTTTAATGCTAAGTGTTATAAAAATGTATAAAAACTGTAAAAAGCAATAGATCAGATTAGATCCGACTTAATTTTTACATGAGACCGTGTATTAACGGAATACAGTCATGTAAGAAAAATAATAATAATAATAATAGCCTGGAGGAAACCCTTTTCAGTAAATTTCTTCTCTGTAATCCTGGAACACTGCTATTTATTGCTGCGTTTTGTAAGAAAGGTCATTCAGCAAACCTTACATTTGTAAAGGGCATAATGATTAAAATGGTTCACAAAATGAAGCACACGCACACACACATGCACATATTGGCTGAGGTCCAGCTAAAATAAAATGCAACATAAATTATGATGCTGTCACAAGAACGTAGGGTTTGGTGTTAAAAACTTTTGATTGGCATCATAATAAAATTACAGTCTGTGTTATCATGAGGCACATCTGCTCACCATGGAACCAGGGGGCCACCTGGTCTGAGTTTGGTTCAATCCCCGCCCGGCGTGAGATCTCACTGGACCGGAACCACTCGATGACTGCCTCCTTGCTTGGAGGTTTGGCAGTCTGGAACTCTGAGTGGGCAGTGGGACTAAGGCTCTTGCTACTTGCTGGGCTGCAAACAGAACATCCGAGTCAGTGTGAGCGAAGCATACAACTGTAAACATTAACCGCCATTCCAAGAATATAAAAAATAGAAACAGTTACTTGACTAACAAGTGCAATTATCTTGACCACAGAAAAATCATCACTCAGGGCATTAAACTTTTTGCTGTGACTTACAAAACTGTCTAACAACCAGCTGAATTGTTTATACATCATGATCAAACTGTGGGTCATGACCTATTCTAAAGGCTCTTGCTGGGTTCTAAAGAACTATTTAAAATACAGCTGCATTCACACACTTTCAGCGGATTAGTAAAATTTATTATAGATGCAGCTGGGAAATGTAGCTGCAGCTGGAAAAACACTTTGCAAATTTCCTTTCTGTAATGTACAGGAACATTGTATAGCATACTGCAGATATGGAGAGGCTGTAAAGCTATTTATGTTCCTCCATAAATCTGTTCATTACTTTATGTGACTGTGGTATCACTCTTTGAGAAACTCTGTATACAACAAATGTCTTAATGTGGCTTTCTGTGGTTATCTCAGTCCTTGGAGCAAATTTTATGGAAGGATCCCAAAGCAGGCTAGGGTGTTTTGTTTTCTCATTCGCAGACACTTTGCCTGTTGGCCACGTGAGACCCATGGAGTAAAGCAGGCTACATGCAATTTTGTAAGAAAGTCAGTATTCTGCAGCCACATAAAGAAGTCCCATGGTTAGATGGCCGTTGGTGCTCTAAGGTCACTGCTTACCGCTGTATCTGCTTTCAGTTCTTTTTGGCTTATGTCAACCCACCCAAACTGTTTGTTGCTAGTGGAAGTTATGTGTTATTACTGTTTACCAACATTTGTGTGAAATCAAAGGCTAGATTATAGGAATGAAATACATGGGCCAGCCTCACTGTTAAGTTCTAAATTTGTTTGATTATTTATTCATTTATTTACAACCCATGTCGGTCTTGACATATATGCAAAATGTTCCAGAATCTGTCACTGAACCCTGTACCTCAGACTGATCTCAGGTGAGTGCCTGGTAATGTTGGTGACCTCCACCTCCATATCCAGTACAGACGTCCTTCGATGCTCCTCTCTGGCTCGCCGTGCGATCTCTCTGATCTGCAGCTCTGCCTCCTTGGCTTTCCTCTCTGCAACATCATATAAGCACATCATCCCTGTGACACATGTACTGTCCATACCATACTGGGTCCAGATGTTGGTTAATGTGTGTCTCATGGAGAATCCTGTCTTCATGGCCATCTACTTGTCACCTTGCAAAGCACAGACTAAACATTATCATATGGTAAGATGATTAGTGAATAAGGAATCTGAAAGTATTTGGAAGCAAGCAGCTATGGCCTAATTTGAGGTACTGTCTTGGCTTTGGCTGGAGACAGTGGGGAACAGTGAATAATCTCAGTCCCAGCCAAGAATCAAGCTGTGCATCTCTAATATATTAATCAGAAGCCTTACCACTTCAGCTAACTTACCTGGGTCTGCTTCATGAAGCAGTGGAGGGAGAGACAGACTGACTCATTCACTCACTCACTCACTCAATCACTCACTCACTCACTCACTCACTCACCTACCTACTAACTTATAGGTTCAGGATAACTTTTATTTTATTTGAACCTCCAAACTACATAATTTTTTCTCCCAACATCCAATTGAAAAATTGCGATGTAACACAAAATCGGATCTTACAAAGACAAACAGTGTCTAACTGAAACATTTTTTGGTATGTTACATATCTAACAGAAACGGAAGGAAAAATATTTATATCCCTTTCCAGTGTGACTTGCTTCACAGAAATAGATATAAATTGAAAGTAAAACAAGATACAGTACCTGACCTATGTTTCTGACATATCTGGTTCAAATCCAAGCCCAACCAGCCATCCTGACCGAGTTGGTTTAATTAAGTCCTCCCGTCATCTTCACTCGACATATGTTATTTGGCATTATATAACTTCATCAGTTGACACAAAATCATAAAATAAATTCCAAGCAAGGGGTGTAGACATAAGACTCTAGATTAACACTCTGGAGGCACGTTGTCTCAATCATTATGTTACCTTGTTCCCTCCAGAGCTGCTCCTGTTTGTGTTCTGCCTCCTCTGCCTCCCTCTCGACCTCCATCTTCTTCTTCTGGAGCCGCTTGAAAATCTCTGATGTCCTCTCCTCCATAACCCGCTTCTCCCACAAAGCCACTCTCTGTGCCACTTTCTTTGGCTGTAACACAAGGTGGCATTCATTAACAGTGTCCAGTCAAGAGAACTGAGTTTTCTCAGACAGGCTCCAAAAACAGGCTTTCTACATACTCAGTATATGACTGTCATGAACATTCAAGTTTGAAAATAACAGAAATTTCTTGCACAACTCAATAAATACTAAATACAGGCCCTGAAATGGGGTGCTAGGGGGTAGACTCTATTCACTTGTAACTTCTGTAAGCAGGGAAGCCAATGGGAAGACTCATCACTTGTTATACAAACTTTCTTATATTAACTCCGCTTCTAAACCTTTATTTTTCCCACGTCAAACATCTGCAGCCACTGGCTGTTCATGTGGTTGCAATACAAACAGATAAACCCACAAGTCAAATCAGGACCATCTGCACAGCCTAGCTCTGCTGTACTCACTTTGTTGAGGGAGATCTCCTGCAGGGCATCTCGTTTGTCAGGCGTGGCACTGCCGTTGTTGTTATCCAACTTGTTAATGCTGTTCCTGACAAACATGCTATTTGAGGTGGGGAATTGGTTGACCTTCTCTCGTAGTTCATCCACTGTGCAGTATATGTCGAGCGATGCCTCGTCTTCTAATCTGTCTTCTTGTCGTTGTGCTGCTTCCATTGCCTCAATCTGCTTCTGGTTGAGGTCCAACAGTTCTGTCAGCTCTGCCTCCACAGACTTCCTGTTACAGTAACAAAGGGTGACCTTAAATGTGCCACTTAGTGTTCAGGATGGTATTAACTCAGTAAGCACAATATACAGCTGATGTTCTATACACCCTACAAATAAAATATTAATCATCTGTCTATTACAAATGATAAAACAATTCCGTCCAGTGTGACTGTTGAAGCTTTTACTACTTCACTTCTTAGCACCCTAACATGTTTCAGTCCCTATAGACCATCATCGGAGAGAGAACATCAATACTTTTAGAAACTACTATTACATTGGGTGTTTTGATTTTTAAAATACATAAATATACAATATTTGTAACATACACTTTATACAAAATCCAAATTTCTTACAACTACAGCAACTGCCCTTGATGCATTAAAGTTTTTTTTAAAAAACTTTTTGTTATTTAAGTTAAAATTCTTTAACCGAATTGGTTCGTGTCCCTTGTCTTTTCGCTTCTCTTGACGGGGCTAAACTTGTGCCGCCTGTCTTTCTTGTGAAGGTAGTTCTTGTTGTCGTCCTATGTTTGCTCGTAGCATGCTGTGTTGTTTTTACTGTTGTTAGGTTGCTAAAAAGTGAAGTGGTAAAAGCTTCAATAGTCACACTGGACGGAATTGTTTTATCATTTGTAATATTGTTAGTGTGGTGGACCAGAATGAAACAAATCAAATTCATTTGTTTATTATTTAATAACAGATTTAGATTGATGCTAAGAATGTATCTGTCACTGGTGTCTGTTGATTGATCCGCTACAAATGGATAACGCATTTCTGGAACCTAGTTCACGTTGATCAGTATGGCAGTGTCTGAACAAAGAGGCTCTACATGAGTGCTCTTACACTGTTCATTTCCCTCTGGTCTAGATACATTTACATGATTCTTAAAGCTAACCTGAGCTGCTCTGCTTCCTTCACAGCCTGTCGCCTGGCTTTCTCCCTTGCCTCCTGTTCCAGGATCTCATCGATACTCAGGTCACTGGGATGCTCTCCCATCACCCAAACCCATGGCTCACCATCAGACCCCATCAGGAAGTCCACCTGCTTCTTACTGCAACCTGTAACTGTTTCTGTATCTGCAGACTGCATGGATGTTCTGTGTGTAGGCTTGTAACAGCTTTGTCACTACTCTGAATGTCAGAGGTAACCAGGCTTAAGGAACATCACAATTATGGTAGACATCTGTTATTTAAGGCAACACACAAACGGATCAACTAACACTGGCTCAGTTCACCAGGTTAACAAAAATTATATTCATCACAAATTTAACCATGCCCACACCCTACTCATTAATATCTGTAAAGAAATCAAAAAGGTGTGAGATAGAATATTAACAAATAAAATAAAAAATTCTTTCAGTTGCCAGCTTTGATTTTTTACTTGCCATGGAGGTCATTCATTCCACATTTTAAATGGAGGCCCCAGTTTATCTTTTACACTTCCAGAAGAAATATTTTTTAAACACAACATGAACTATATTTAGAAATTAAGCTACATTATGCCACATCTCCTACCACATTCCTCAATATTCATCATTTAACAGTGACCAAGTGTCTTCATACTGTCTTCTACACTTCCAGAAGACACATTTCTTAAACACTACATGAATTCATTCACTCCTGCAGCTGAGCCCTTCTTGAGAAGCCTCCAACTGTGCAGCTACTCAAGAATTTCCCAGAATTTTATGGAACCTGAAGGTTCATCACTGTGTTCACAAGAGCCCTCCACTGGTCGCTAACCTCAGACAGATCAATCCATACCATCCCATCCTATCTCTCTAAGATCCATTTTAATATTGTCCACTCACTTATGCCTTGGTCTTCCCAGTGGTCTCCTTCCTTCTGGCTTTGCCACCAATATCCTATATGCATTCCCCTTCTTTCCAATTCGTGCTACATGCCCTGCCCATCTCACCCTCCTTGACCTGATCATTATAATTATACTTGGAGAAGAGTACAAGTTATGAAGCTCTTCATTATGCAGTTTTCTCCAATCTCCTGTCACTTCATCTCTCTTCAGTCCAAATATTCTCCTCAACACCCTCAGTCTATGTTCCTCCCTTAATGTCAGAGACCAAGTTTCATACCCATACAGAACCACAGGCAAAATTATAGTATTGTATATTCCAATTTTATGCTTTTTAGACAGCAGACAAGAAGACAAAAGGTTCTGCATTACTCGAGTTCAGTCTCCTCTTAATTTCCTCCTGAATCAAGTTTTGATTTGTTATCGTTATTGCAAAATATCTGAACTGTGCCACATTTTCAAAACATCTGTTACCTATCTTTATGTTAAGACTTTACCCTGTATTTTGGTGACGAGACAGCAACATATACTTAGTTTTCTCTGCATTTACTTTTAGATTTCTAGACTTATTAGCGTCAGTTAAAGTTTGTGTGTTTTTCTTTCTGATGTCCATATTATCACCCAGTAGATTCACATCATCAGCACAGACTGATGTGTCCCATTTAATTTCTGTCCCATCTGGTTTTCCTGGACCTTCCTAATGGCATATTCTAAAGGAAAGTTGAAAAGGACTGGTGATAAAGCATCTCCTTGTCTTATACCATTCTGGATAGGAAATTTAACAGACAAATGTTTACCTACACGGACTTTACTATACGTTTCGTTTAAACACATTTTAATCAGCCTGACTAGTTTCACGAGTATCCCAAACTCTATCAGAATATTGTACAAGCTACGAACCTGCGGGTTTGGCACTGCTGGGTGGCTTCCTGGACTCCTGTTGGTCCCACTGGGTCCACCGTCGGACCTGCTCCTCCCTCATCCGGCAGAAGAGCGTCTGCTTTTGTGACTCATCGAGTTCAGCGAGCAACTCGGGGTCCACCCACATGTCCTGCAAGATCTGCTGTAGCATCTGTGGGCACACATACACACACACGCCTTTAGATGCTCAGTTCCCTCTGTTACCGCAACCCTTCATTCCGAGAGCCATATCATCGTCAGATAAGAATGTAACTTACAAAAATTGCTATGTCGGAGACCTCGCTGAAAAAACAACACTTTTATCCCTGAAGTTCGCCTCTTCAGAGTAGGCCTACAGCGTACGCTGGGCAGTGCACGCGCTGTGGGTTCAGTTGCCCCCTATAAATGGGTATATTTTCGCGTTACAGAAAATCGACATAGGCCCCGGGCATCTGTTATTTTGAAACATGGCTGGTAATGGAAAGGGGGGGGGGGATGGACGCTGCCTACACTTGGTGGTCGACTTCCTTTCTGATT